AAATGTTTTAATAACGCTTAATTTTGACATGATCCACCGATCGGATTTTGGCAGATTTTAAGTATGTTGCTAGATAGGCCACCCTTACTTAAATAGCGTTGAAAACAATTCTGTTCCAATTAGTTTGATATTGAGCCTCGAAAATGCCTAGATTGACTGGACTACTAAGCGTAGAGCGCATTTTATCTATTGTGGAACTTCTTATAATAGGCTAATGTTCGAGCGTAGTGCGTATGAGCTATTGTGCTTAACGTGTGTCAAATCACTAAGATAGGATGGCGCCAGTCTACAAATTAACTTCAATTGAAAGTAAGAATTAAATGGTGTTCTGTAAAATTCACATAAATCTGAATGCTAAGAGGTCACCTATGTTGGCCACCATGTAGCGTTACAGCCTGTTTAGCACATCGTCAATTAACTATTCAACAACAAGTCGATTAAAATGTGGGGATTTTAATTCCTTGTTTCACGGTCGGTAAGAGTTTCCCTGTCCACCTTTCAGGGTGTTAATTTTCTTTTAGTACTGAAGGCAGTTACAGCTGTATTCATTTTTATCTCATGCATAAAGCTCTATATTTTTACCTTTAGCAAATATTGGTTATTTATAATAGTTTGCGTCGTTTTGACCATCAGTCAATAGCAAAAGTGTGGTGGCCGACAGGTTAACAATCGAACATATTCGTTTTTCCTGTGGGGTTTGAGCCTTTTCTTCTGGTTGTTTTTTTAAACAAGAAACTTTGCTCCGCTTTTTCTCTCCTTACCCAGGTGTATAAATAGGAACTAGTGACATGTACTATCTGGAGCTATAACGTGATGGGGATGTTCCTACATTACATATTAATATATTTTAAAAATGAGAAAGCACTACGCTTATTTATTAGTCTAATGCTGTTTGTATAAGCAGCTGGTCGACATTAAAAGCGTACTGTCTATTTCGAAAACAAAACTAGAGTAGTTGAATACAAATTATGTATTCAGTCCTTATATTTATTGAAATATCTGCTTTAATGTTTCAAACCCTTCACAAAACCTTCGTCGCTAAAAAATTGCATTTGTCCGGCCCTTTGGTACGAAATTTTGGCGATAGTTTAATTTTGTGGGGAACAGTTTTAAATTGTTTCGATGGCTCGGGACCTTTTTTGTTTCTTTCTCTTAAGAATTAATTTTTGCGATGCTTAGAAGTTGCATTTAGACTTCCTTTGTTTACCTGTTAACCAACATCCGAATGTTAAACAAAACTGCCGTTGTCGTTTTAAATAACTCAATGAAATATGGTGGGTGGACGGAGTAGCTTTCTTTATCACAATCAACAGTCACCAACAAAATTCTATGCTTCGCATCAAAACTATTTATTATTGCTGTTAAGTTTCATTCGAATGATTTTTTTGAATTTGATATTTTTTCACGGAACTTTTTATATAGGGGAACTTAATTTTGCGTCACCCCGTAAGAAAATTTGCAAAACTTAAGTGCTGCACTTGGCATCACGATATTTACATGACATTTCTGACGTTCGACTTTTGGGTGAAAGTAAGTCTAGAAAGCTGTAGGTAAGGAACAGTTTTGAGGTGTTGCTTCAAGTCTCTCAAACTGGGTAAGTCTTGAAGTCTTCTTTCTGTGTTTTTTCTTTTATACGCTACATTTTATGCCTCAAAATGAATTTGTGTCGGTGGGTGTATGTGCTCTCTCACAACTTACACAAACATATTACTAAATGATGGACCAATGGTAATTTGCAAATTGCTTAATTAAAACACATAATATTCAGCGAAGTTCAGCTGCAGATAGTTAAGACCACCTTAAGTTTATATAAAAGCGCTGGTGAACAAATTAGTAACTTCAAAGGAGACTGCGTTAATTACAATTCGAAATTTAGTGGCGTTTGAAACTGACAGACCATGGCCAGCAATTTTTCCATGGACTGTGACAAAGAGAGATTTTGCTTAAACGAATCAGGGATGAATTGCACCTCTGATCGTTGGCATGATAATAGCCGTGGTTTGAAGACTACGAAATTTGTTGTCTTGATAACTTTCCATGTAATTGTGGCCGTCGCAGCCCTTTTCGGCAACTACCTCATGCTCCGAGCGTTTCACAAATTTCAAAATCTTCGAACTGCGTCAAATGTAATCTTAGCGAGTTTGTCCATTGCTGATGGATTGCTTGGGATTCCGTCCATCCTAGATATCATGCACTTGAGTCTATCCGTTGGAACTGAGCATAGGTCTGGTATTCTGAGAAAAATAAGTGCGAGTTCCACCTTCCTTCTCATGTCAGTTATCATTCTTCACCTCGCCTTAATCAGTTTGGAACGGTCCATCGCCGTGAGGTTTGCCTTAAGATACCACATTATAGTAACCAACCGCCGAGCACTGATCGTTTCTATCGCCATGTGGCTGTGGGCTGTGGTCGTTATCATTGTTTTCCCAAAGGTCCTTAAAGCCTCCAGCGACGATTTCGAACAGCTTCGCCAGGCGATGAATCCATACAGTGAAACCCACAAAGGACCCCCAAATGACGGCCCTCCTCCATTAACCGAGGGATACCTCGTATTCCAAATGATAACACTGTTGGTTATCCCCCTCTTTATCATTCTTTGCTCCTACTCCTATATCTTCATCGTGTTGAACAGGCACAGGAAGCAGATTAGAAAGCAAGCTGACATCTCAGGACTACCGCAACGAATCAAGCATGAAATGAAAGGTGCCCGCACTTTCGCCGTGGTGATAGCAGTGTGTCTTCTGAGTATCATACCTTTGTTGGTTGTGACATGCCTTCGCTTTTTTGGGAAGCTGTCAGAGTGTGACCATCCAAAACGGAAGCATTATAAGTTTATATTTTACAATGTGGCAATTGGCTTGAACGCCATCTGCAATCCTCTTATTTACGGATGGAAAAATAAAGAATTCAGAAGAGCTTTTGTTAAAGTGCTGAAGTGTGCTTAGAACGTGATCATACCTTGTACGAAGAGGAAAGTGACTTGATTATTGTTACTGTAGGAATAATTTCTGATAAAAAAGTGTTAAATATATAGAGAATTAGAAAATAAGACCTCCAGTTAACTCTCTGCAAACTATCCCTTTCATGTCCTTGTTTTACCCTTTTAATGTGAAAAGTTAAATGAATGAAAATCCGTTAGGTTAATGACAATTAGTTTAATTTGATGTCCATATATCGCTCCTTTAGGACAAAATTCTGTTTTTCAATCCAATATTTCTTTACTTCTACCAGTTATTGCCCATGTTTATCTGCTGGTAGTTACCTAAACTCTGCTTAGTCTTGATTTGTGTGGTGTGTCTGTCTAGGTTTTGTGCGCTCTGCCCGCACATATTAAAAACCTTTTTCAAGCGATTGGCAACATGGAATCTCAAAAAAAGAAACATGGAATCTATTTGTTAAATATAATCCATTTTGCCATTTTTCAGTTCAGTAAAACGTTTTTCAGGGCTCTTTGAAATTTATATGAAAAGCAGAGCAGATTGTCAATTCCCTATCAGTTGGAAGAAATCCCAGGTAACAGCAGTTTTCAAAAAGGGCAACAGGCTAGATGAAAATAACTATAGACCTATATCACTCCTAAGTTTTCCTAGCAAAATTTTGGAAAGGGTGGTTTGTAGATCGTTTGATAATCATCTGACCACTCACAGTCTCTTGTCTGACAGACAATGGGATTTAGGAAGGGTCATTCTACAGTACAGGTAGCCTTTTGTTGCACCTTACTGAAGTGTGGAAAGAAGCCTTGGACGATGGGCTTAAGGTCTCGGTAAATGAAAATTTTAGTACATTGCTCGATTTTGTTTTTTTTTTTATTTTTGGCATGAGTGAGTCCTAAATTTTATTTTAGCAGAAAAAGTAAATCAGGAAGTGCTTTTTAACCCTTCTAAAATGAGCCTTTTCTGAGCTAACCAGCCAAGCGTGGACCTCGTGCTAAATCTTTAGAGCTGATTTTCTCTCACTCTATTTTAGACGCAAAAATCAAAATTCTCCGACCTCCAGTCGGAACAGGTTTTAAGCTATCGCTTTGAAACTTTCAGATATGATGGATAATGATATAGACTCAAAAACAGTGTGAGGAATTCTCCGATTTCCCTTTGTAACTAATTTTATGTCAGTTTCTTTGCGTAAATCGCTTTCGAGATTCTACTTTTTAGTTTGAAATGCAATAATTCCGCTAATACAAGACATATGCAAATTTCCTCACACTCTTTTTTAGGTCTTTTATCTGTCAATCAGACGCAATAAAAAGGAAGTGAATATTTAACGACGCGAAAGGGCTGGAGCTTCAGCAGTAAACTCGATACCTCTGAGTTTGAGAGCAAAAAACTTAAGCGCCTTTTGAAATTCGATGAAATACAATCTTTTATAAGGTAATTTAGTCTTTTAGCTTTAATTTGATATATAACTTGCCTTTGTAGCGAAAATACTCGCGCGACTAGAATTTTTTTCTGTGGGCACCTCTTTTTCCTTTACCGAGACCTTAAAGTAGGTGAATTGTTCATTGACTTTAGGAAAGCCTTTGATTGTGTAGATCATGTCATTCTGGGTGAGAAACTTAAGGCATTGGGAGTGTCAGAAGATATGTGGATATGTGGATATGGTTGATGGATTATTTAGCAAGTAGAAGCCAATTGACACAAATAGATGACGCATCTTCGGAATCTAAACTTGTAAAAATTGCGGTCCCTCAGGGTTCCCTGTTGGGAGCTGGGCTTTTTATTACTTATGTAAATGATCTTCCAGACAGCATTCGAAGTGGCGAAGTTTACATGTATGCTGACGACACTACCATTTATACCATTGGTAACACTACTGATGAGGTTGCTATAGCTCTCCAGGTGATATTAGATCAGCTACAAACATGGTGCCAAAAGAATAGATTAATTATTCATGAAGGGAAATGCGATGCAGTACTCCCGGATACAAAACCCTTTATTGACCCTCTGAAGCCTTTAGTTTGGGGAGACAAAACCATTGAATACAGATCTTTCTCTGTATGTCTTGGTATAGCCATTGATGAAAGACTCTTCTGGGCCAACCATGTAAAATCAGTCTCTACCTCATACAGCTCTAAAATTAAAATATTAAGACGCATAAGCTTTTTACCAAAAGCCACACTAGAAACAATTTATTACAAAACAGTAATCCCAAGCGTATTATATGGTATGGCTGTGTGGGGCTCTTGTTCAGATTGTTTGATGAAAGATCTAGAACTAATCCACCTCAGAGCAGCGAGACTTATCCACAAATTACCAAGAGACATGGAAGACGAAACAGTACTCATAAATGCAAGTTGGATGCATTAAAATATTTTTATTGCTCTCGTATTCTAAATATAACGTATAGAGCTTTTTATAATTTAGAGTTAGGTGATATAAATAGTTTAGTTGTTAAGAACGCTTCTTCTTATAGTCTTAGGAAATCGTTAAATGTTGTTGTATCTAGGCCACGAACTGAACAGGGTCGTCGTTCATTTAAACACAGAGCTGCAATTGCCTGGAACTCTTTACCTGACACCATCAAACGGCTTGAAAACCCTCACTCTTTTAAAAGAAAGTTAAAATCGACTAAGACCTATGTTAGGGACATCAGTTTTCAAAAGGAATGCTCAGTAAATTATAATAAGAACCCCGAATTTAGATATTTTAAAATTATTTGATTAGTCTTTTTATCTTAAATAATTGTATTGTAAATCTTTGTTCTCTTATCTAGACTAGTAGTAGTAGGTCCACATCAGCTGTACAGTTGCTTATTTCAAACCTACTTATCAAATAAATGTATGTATGTATGTATGTACCAACTCTTTCTCCTGTCCTTCTTTACGGTCCAGCTACATAGCTACACTGTCAAGTACATGTTTCTGAATTTTTCTACCCAGTGGAATTCAATGGGGCGAAGAAACCGACGTTGGAAGGCAGCGCTTAAACCGGGAGCTTGAATCCCTCTTCACTTTCATTCTTCTCGTTTTCAGAACTAAACAAGACGCTTGACACAAACGAATACAACTGAAGAAGGGTTTTCATTTTCCTTCCACAAGAACTATAAATTTGGTCCGACATATCCTCGGCTCGTAATATTCTCTTTGCGAGAACTAAATTAAACGAGCCCCCTCGTCTGCTTTGAAGGCTGAAACAAGTTCTCGGTACCAATCTGATCCCCCTGAGAACCAAACTTGACACACAGACGAAGGGGGTGCCAGCTTGGCCTGTAATCAATCAACTTTGTTTTTCGGAACCTCATTTTTCAGCCAATTGTATTTCCCTTCGTCTGGGCGAAGTACAAATGAAACTTTATGAGAGATCGTTGCAAGCGCTCCTTTCCTCTGCCACTCGCGGCTTCGCCGCTCGCGCGCTCTCGCGAGACTGAAGTCGCCTCGCTCGCCCAAATAAGAGAGCTTCCTCGCAGGCTAAATTATCTATACAGACGATTTTCGAATCCTGGGCAGCTCCATAGAAGATTCAAGAGCCACTTCTCTGCTAATGCTTGACCTACTACAGGGGCTACGCTTCACCATAGACAGAAAAAAGTCCCGGCTTCTGGACCCCAACCGGTCATTTAGTCATTTTACGTTTGTTGGTGTCTCCATAAACTCACTGACGATGTTATTCAGTCTCCCAGAGAAGAAAATCCTGACCTTACAAAACAAATTAAATGTCAACAGATGTTGTGCAACCCCACCCCATCGGCTCGCAAAGTGGCAAGCCTCATAAAGAAACTGGAGGTGGCTCGCCCCGCCATCTGGCAGGCCCCCTTAACTGACAGGTCCCTACAAATAAAACTCATAAAATACCTTAAGGCATCTCATCGCAATTACGAGACGTCTGTGCACCTGAACAGCAACACTCCGACCGAACCGCTACGGAGGTGGTTTCAGAAGTTAACGACTCTGGATGGAATTGTTATCAATTCCTTTGACTCAGATCTATAAAGAACTTCAGACGCATCCAAAGCAGGCTGGAGCTCATGCTGCCAGGAACTAACCGCAAACCAGACATCACATAAACGTCCTCGAACTCAGAGCTGCTTTTTTCGCAACAAAAGCCTTTCCCAAACACACATGTCCAATATACACAAACGGATACGATTCGTCAAACCGATGGTCCATTGATACCAATGGTACGATTGGTTGTGAGCATTGGACAACCCTCGGTTTGAGAGGAACGACTGGAGAAATTCCGCAGTGATGATGTGTTACTACCCTGATCTGAGTAGTGCTTCTGATTGGTCACTGCTGTGAGGGAAGTTTGCTTCAACCAATCTGAAGCACTACCAAATTCTGGGCAGTAACATCTGTCGTTGTTCCTCAGGTGTAATCTCATGGGGAAACCAACTGATGGTGTGATGCATAAGTTTGGCTGTTTTCTCAGGCTAGGCTACTTCTGTGGGTTAACAATGCTAGTGAGCAAAAATTCACATGTAATTGATGAGGTCTGCCAAGATTCGTCTATTGCCAGTTACATAATCTTCCTCATTTTAAGTAATCTTCCATGCCATGTTAAAAGTTTTCACCATGCAGGGAAGATCAATTGTGAGGTCAGGGAGTTATAGCGAATGTGAGCAGTCCAGAAAAATAATCAAGGTGAGTGGTGTTACATCTGATCCCATACATAATATAGCTACCTTTTAAACTATTAATTTTTTTGGTGGCCATTGTGTGAAGGGGGCTGTTTTGTGGGGGCAGGTGTGTATTACAGGTGAAAACTAAATGCAAGTTAAAATGTTTTACCCTAGATGGATTCAATATTTTTTTTGTCTCCTAGTCCTGATTATTCATGAATTAAGGCAAGGAGACAAAGAAAATTGAGAATCAACCTACAATCGGCGACAAAATTAGTTGAAACACTTTGCGCTAGTGTTCTCCCCAGGTATTTAAGGTTAGGCGGGGCCGCCTGGCTTAATTCACTGGAAAATGGTTGCCGCCTGGCTTAAAACCAACTATCCGAATGGATGCTTATGTTGACATCTAGAACTAGGTATTTCAGGGACAAAATCACTCAATAACATTTATGAAACATTTGTATTTTCCGTAAAATAGGCGTACATCTCCTCATAAAATAATCGTTCAAAAACTCTGGCTATAGTTGGTAAGACAGAAATCGGTCTAAGGTTATTTGGATCATTTCGTTCTGATTTAAATAGCGGAAAGACCTTTGGAACTTTCCAATTATCTGGAAAAGTATTTGTAGTAATCGAGAGGTTGAAAAGGTCAGCTAACGATAAAGAAATAACTGGAGCCGCTATTTTTAAAATCTTGTTTGGGATGTTATCATGACCAGTCGCCTTTGCAACATTTACTTCCTGCAGCTTTTTAAACACGTCAGAGATCGTCACTTCCTTCAGTTCAAAAGAAGAATTAACGCGCTGTTGGGAATCAGCTGGATTTGCATCACAATCCACCGTAGGGATTTCAGATGCAAGTTTCGGCCCAACGTTTGTAAAGTGAATATTCAAGTATTCAGCCATTTTCTCGGGATCTGATAAAGGCCCAGAATTTTCTGTCTTTAAATCATTAATCTGTGTGCTGTCCGATTTCTTACTCATTAGGTCGTTAAGAATTTTCCAAGTTGCTTTCGGGTTACCAGAGGCTCCATCTATTTAATGTATGTAATAATCCTTCTTTGTCTTTTTTACTTTTTTGTTAACCGTTAACTTTTTAGTTTTATATGCCTTCCAAACATCTCGCCGCTGCGTTTCTGAAGCTTTTTTTCTTTAGCCAGTCACGTTCTTACATTTCCTCTTTTAACTTAGAATTTAACCAAGGAGCGGGTTTATTTCTGACTCGCATGACTCTTGTCGGAGATGGCTTATCAACTATATTTAAGAATATATCTTTCCATGCATTCCCCGCACTATTCACTTCCATACCGCTTTTAATACCAGGCCATGAGGCATTTTTCAGATCTGTTAAGAAATTTTCTCATTGAAATGTTTAAAATTCCTCCCTTGAATAAACTTTAGTTGTCCCCTGGGTAAACCAATTTTTTTCACAGTATAAATTAAATTGTGGTCGCTAATGGAAAGTGTGTATACTCCCGAATGAGAAATGTTATCCTCCTTGTTCGTAATAAATACATCAATAAGAGTTTGCGATTTGGCATTACCTCTTGTAGGTTCTTTGATTAATTGTGCCAATTGATAATCAACCATCAAGTCGATAGGTAGTGTGAACCTCTGGGGGATTTGAAAGAATATTACAGTTGAAATCTCCCAGTATGTAAATTTCTGAATACCTGGCATCTGCCTCCTTCAAAAACATTTCGAATTTTTTAAAATAATCCAAAGGTGTGTTGGGTGGCCGGTACCAGGTAGCAATAAGAAATGGACATGAATTTGGGTTCTGAATTTCTAAGGCAATTAATTGAAGATCATCATTTTCAAGTCGATATTGCCTACAGAATGTTATTGTATTTCGCAGGTAAAAGCAAACTCCTTCCCCGTGTTTGTTTCTATCCCTGCGAACAACATTATAACCTTCTAGATTAACCAGTCGATCACCATCTACCAGATCCAATTTTGATTCATTAATAGTCAAAACATGCAGGGGCGTATTTGCCATGAAGACTTTTAATTCGTCTACGTGTTTAGTAAGACTGGTTACGTTGAGCAAGGCAATTTTGAAACCTCTAATTTCAGAAGTAATGTTATCAAATGACAGTGGTTTGGCAGAACAGTGATCATTAGGTCGTCGATTACTATCTACACAGGTCAAATTTCAATCTCCATTGATATATTCCCTAAAATTAGACGCAAGGCGGTAAACACCTTTCCGATTTAAATGCAATCCACTTCTATTAAGAGAGCCTTCTTTGATGTTAATTTACTGTTATCAATAAAAACCCAGTTCTTACTCTGACAAAAAGAAGAGAGCCGGCGATTTACCTCATCAGTCTTGGAATTAAGAGATTGATCATCAGACCTGAAGATGATTGAAGAAACCGCGACGTCGATGGATAGGTGTTCCGCTTCGATACTATCCACTAAACCAGCCACTTTGTTTTTTATTTTCTTTGGTTGATCCATCTTCAAATTGTTGGTGCCGACATGTAGGATAATTTTCTTCGGTTTCCGCTTGATAACCGGTTTTGCAAAATCAACCATGTCATCAATGGTGGCCCCAGAAAAAGAAAAAGCATTAACATTTTGGTTTCTTGACAATTTCTTACCGATGATGTTTCTGGTAATGGAATCACCGATGACAACCACACCTGGAGGTTTGTTTTGATCCTGTTTACTCTGGCTTGTGATGTTGTTACCAGAGGCGACACCTTTGTGCCCAGAAGGATTTTTCTTCTTTGGCTGCACCGTTTCCCAAGATTTGGAGGCTTGTTGTTCGTCATTTCGGTCGACTGTATTTCTGTTACCCCCATGTTCTTTGAAATCTTTAAACAATATTCTTACAGCTGTTACAAGACTGTCCCTTTCTTCTTCGAGTGTTTTTATGCGAAGAAAGAGTTCATCATATGAAGGAGTAAAGACACGTGTTTTGAGCTGTTCGTTGAGTTTAACAAATTCTTGCTTAAGCCCATTACTAGCATCGGCATTTTCCTTGCAACCAGGACAGTGGTGGAAAGCTTGCTCCTCGTGATATGCAGGTTCATCATGATTCTGTTGAATCACTTCATTATCCCAACATTAGGCAGAAAATCCACATCTTCGTCATCCGTTTGCTCTTGACCGACATGTTGTTCATCCGAAACTAGCTCATTTGCATCAATATCTAAATTTCTGCCCGAGAGAAGAGAAAATAGATTCTTTCTAACCTCTTCTTGTTTCGCTCCTTGCACATTCAGCGTTTTAGTTTTAGGAAAAAAGGAAGCGTGACACTATTCGCCTTCAAGACGAGAAATCCACCACTCTTGGACACAGAAGACAACTGCCCCGACAAACTGAGCTCATCCTTTACAAACGATTTGAGCTCGTTAAATCCGCTCTGCCTCTTAAATTTGCGACTTTTTTTGTCTTCCTCAATAGAAAGTGGATAGGAAGTGCTTAAACGTGGTTCCAAACCGATATTATGATCGGTTAAATTTAAAGAAGAACAGCTCTCCTCTACACGTGCTGCCGCCATGACGCTAGGGCTGTGTATACAAGGTATACACGGTATACCTTGTAACCTTCTGGGGGATTAGAGGGGTCCTTGTAACCTGGTAACCTTGAAACCTTCTGGGGGCTACAGGAGGTTAGAGAAGGTAACAAGGGGTTACACGGGGTTACGAGGGATTACAGTTAGGTTAAAAGGGGTTACAACGGGTTACAGGGGGTCACAGTGGGTTACAAGTGTTTACAACAGGTTGCAAGGGATAACAAGGGGTTAGTGTGGGTTGCAAGGGGTTATAGGGGTTTAAATAGGGTTAAAAGGGGTAACAGGGGGGTTACAGTGGGTTACAGGGGGTTACAAGGGGTTAGAGGAGTATATATAAGGTTACAAGAGGTTACAAGAGGTTACAAGGGGTAACGGGGGGTTACAGGGGGTTACAAGGGGTTACAGGAGGTTACAAGGGGTTAAAAGGGAATTACGGGCGGCTACAGGGGGTTACGGGGCGTTACAAGGGGGGAACAAGGGGTTACAGGGTGTTACAAAGGATTACAAGGGATTACAAGGGGTTACAAACGGCTACAAGGCGTTAGAGGAGGTTACAGGGAGTTACAAGGGGTTACAGGGGTTACAAGGAGTTACAAAGGGGTTACAGGGAGTTACAGGGAGTTACGGGGAGTTAAGACGGGTTACAAGAGGTTACAGGGGGTTCCGGGTGGCTACAGGGGAAGACGGAGGGTTACAAGGGGGTAACAAGGGGTTACAGGGGGTTACAAAGGATTACAGGGGATTTCAAGGGGTTACAAAGGGTTACAAGGCGTTAGAGGAGGTTACAGGGAGTTACAAGGGGTAACAAGGGGTGAAAATGGGTTACAAGAGGTTAAAGAAGGTTACAGGGGGTTACAAGGGGTTACAGGGGGAAACGAGAAGTTACAACAGGCTAGAGAGGGCTACAGAGGGTTAAAAGGAGTTACCAGGGGTTAAAAGGGGGCTACAAAGGGTTGCAAAGGGTTAAAAGCGGTAAAGCGGTTTACAAGACGTTACAGGGGGTTGCAAGGGGTTACAAGGGGTTACAAAGAGTTACAAAAGGTTGCAGGAGGTTACAAGGGGATACAAGGGGTTACAGGGGATTACAAGGGGTTACAGGAGGTAACAGGAGGTTACGAGGGGTTACAGAGGGTTACAGAGGGTTACAGGGGGTTACAAGAGTTTACAAGGGGTTACAAGGGGTTACGGGGGGTTACAATGGGTTACAGAGGGTTACAAGGCGTGACAAGGGGTTACAGAGGGTTACAAGGGGTTACAACGGGTTACAGGAGGTTACAAGGGGTTACCTGAGGTTACATTAATTTACGGGGGATTAAAGGTGGTTACAAGGGGTTAAAAAGGGTTACAATGGTTTACAAGGGGTTACAATGGGTTACAAGGGGTTAAAGGGGGATACAAGGGATTACAATGGGTTACAAATGGTTACACACGGTTACACAGGGTTACAAGGGGTTACAAGGGTTTACAGGGGGTTACAAGGGGTTACAGGAGGATACAAGGGGTTACAAAGGGGTTACAGAGGGTTATAGGTGGTGACAAGGGGTTACAAGGGATTAAAAGGGGTTACAGGGTGTTACAGGGTTTAAGGGGCGTTACAAAAGGGTTATAAGGGGTTACAGGGGGTTACAGGGGGTTACAGGGGGTTACAAGGGAGACAAGAGGTTAAATGGGTTACAAAAGGTTACAGGAGATTACAAGGGGTTACAAGGGATTACAAGGGTTCACAGGGGGTTAGAGGGGCTGACAAGGGGATACAAGGGGTTACAAGAGGTTGCAGTGGGTTACAAGGGGTTACAGGGGGTTAAGGGGGGTTTTTATGGGGTTTACAAAAGAGTTATAAGGGGTTACAAGAGGTTACAAGTGGTTAGAGGGGGTTACAAGGAGTTACAAGGGTTAGAACGGGTTGGATTGAGTTACAGGGGGTTACAAGGTGTTACAGGGGGTTACTGGGGGTTACAATTGGTAACAGAGGGCTACAGAGGGTTACAAGGAGTTACAAAGGATTAAAGGCCGTTACAAGGGGTTGCAAGGGGTTACAAGGGGTTACAGGGGGTTACAAGGTGTTAAAAAGGGTTACAGAGGGTTACAACGGGTTACAAGGGGTTACAACGGATTACAAGGGGTTACAGGGGGCAACAGGGTGTTACAAGATGTTACAGGGGGTTACAAGAGGCTACAAGGGATTACAAGGGTTTACAGGAGGTAACATGGGGTTACGAGGGGTTACAGAGGGTTACAGAGGTTTATAGGGGGTTACAAAAGGTTAAAAGGGATTTCAAGGGGTTTCAAGGGGGTTATAGGGGATGAAAAGGGGTTACAAGAGGTTACAGGGGGTTACAAGGGGCTACAAGGGGGTAAAAGGGGGTTAAGGGGTGTTACAAAAGAGTTATAATTGGTTTCAAGAGGTTACAGGGGGCTAAATGGGGTTACAAGGGGTTACAAGGGATTACAACTGGTTACAGGGGGTGACAAGCGGTTGCCAGAGGTTACAGGGGGTTTCAAGGGGTAACAAGGGGTTACAAAGGATTACAGGGGGTTACAGGAGGTTACAAGGAGTTACAAAGGGTTACAGAGGGTTACATGGGGTTACAGATGGTTACAGAGGGTTACAACGGGTTACCAGGGGTTAAAAAGGGGTAACAGAGGGTTATAATGGGATACAAAGGGGTTACAAGGGGTTACAAGAGTTAGAATAGGTCACAAGGAGTTACAGGGGGTCACAAAGGGTTACAAGGGGTTACAGGAGATTACAGGGGGTTACAAAGGGTTACAAGGGGTTACAGGGGGTTACAGGTGGCTACAAGGGGTTACAAGGGGTTACAAGGGTTAAAATGGGTTACAAAGGGTTACAGTGGGTTGCAACGGGTTACAAGGGGTTAAAAGGGGTTAAAGAGGATTACAAGGGGTTACAGGGTGTTACAAGGGGTTACAAGGGATAACAGGGGCTTACAGGGGGTTACAAGGGGTTACAGAAGGGTACAACGGGTTACAAGGGATTACCAGAGCTTACAAGGGGTTACAAGGAGTTACACCCCTTGTAACACCCGTTAACCTCCTTTAACCCCCTCTAACCCCTTTTTATCCCCTGTAGCCCCTTGTAACCCCCTGTAACCTCTTGTAACCTATTGTAACCCCTTTTCATCCCCTGTAACCCCCTGTAACCCCTTGTAATCCCTTGTAACCTCTTGTAACCCCCTGTAAACCTCGAAACGGGTTACAAGGGATTAGAAGGGGTTACAGAGGGTTACAAGGGGTTACAGGGGTTTACAGGGGGTTACAGGAAGTGACAAGGGGTTACCAGAGGTTACAGGGGGTTACAACGGGTTACAAGTGGTTACAAGGGATTACAGGGGGTTTCAAAGGGTTACAGAGGGGTACAACGGGTTACAAGGGGTTACAGGGGGTTACAAGGGGTTACAAGAGGGTACAAGGGATTATAAGAGGTTACAGGAAGTTACAGGGGGTTAGGAGGGGTTACATATGGTTACAGAGGGTTACAGAAGGTTACAAGAGGTTACAAGGGTTTACAGGAGGTAACATGGGGTTACGAGGGGTTACAGAGGGTTACAGAGGTTTACAGGGGGTTACAAGAGGTTACAAGGGATTACAAGGGGTCACAGGGGGTTACAGGGGGTGACAAGGGGTTACAAGAGGTTACAGGAGGTTAGAGGGGGCTACAAGAAGTTACAAGGGATTACAAGGGTTTACAGGGGGTTAAAGGGGGTTAAGGGGGGTTACAAAAGAGTTATAAGGGGTTACAAGAGGTTACAAGGGCCTACAGGTGGTTACAAGGGGTTACAAGGGGTGACAAGGGTTTCCAGAAGTTAGAAGAGGTTTACAAGGGGTTACAAGGGATTACAGGGAGTTGGAGGGGGGTAAAAAGGGTTACAAAGGGTTACAGAGGGTTGCAACGGGTTACA